TCTCACAATGAATTAGGATGGAAAGTTTTTAATTGAAATTTTCAAGATGGGGCAACCAAGTATCAAAGAATGTAAGTGACTTATCTAAGGTCACTCATCCTTGTGTATATGATCAGGATTTTAAATGCATTATTTTGGCTCCAAAGTTCCTGCTTTGATCCAATAAGAGACATGTACAAATGATTTGTAAATATTGACTAGAAGGCATTTATAGTGTGTTTTAGCTTTATGAAGTATATTATAGCATTTTAAAAACCCAGTAAAATGCTGACCTAAGTAGGCATATTATTGTGAGAAAAACAGTTCCTTCTACTTTATTTTTAAAATATGAGTATAACTCATTGCTCCCGGGATAGCATTAGCCAAATTATTTTTCTTGGTGTTTACAGCCCTAGTTCACAGATGTTAGTTGCCATGAATAGGTGTCAGGAGAAAGTGTGAACCACAGTCTAGTAGCAGTTGCAGACTTCGCTTGTTTACACAGGCCTTCTGTACTTGGCTGTCTCCTTTTTGTTGTATGTGTGCCCTTGTAACTCGCATGCCTTTTGGATTCATGCTGTCAGATGAAGTTAACTTGCTCAAGTTTCTCAAGATGGGGATTATTTCTGCCGTTTTACATAAATAGCATTGGCGCTTGGTATACCTATCATGTCCCTAATTTTATTTCCATTGAAAATTTCTGTTCTGTATAGTACAGGTCTCTGCATGTTAGTGGTGATTCAGATTGTAGCTACAGGTAAAACCAAACAAACAAATAAAAGACATCAGTGGACCAGTGAAACACTCAGCCAAGTGTCATAGAGTTAAAACAAATTGTTATTTTTTAACCCTGAGTAAAGAGTGAAATGTGAACGTTAATTTTAATAGAATTTATAGAAGATAGGAATTTGGTAAATCCCAATAAAAGCAGAAGCAAACAATTCGATAATAAGATAAACTCTGGTACAGTTTATGTAGCATTAATTAAATGGATTAAAATGTATCTATTGTTAAAATATAAAAAGAAACTCTACAACCTAAGACACATTATAATTTTAAATTAATAAAAAGAAGAGAAATAATGTGATAAAATAATCCTCAAAATGGAAAGGCTTATGACAAGTAAAGCCAACCAGCTAGCCTTTTTATTAATTCATGTATTTATTCATTTCACGGATATTTATTGGGTGCCTTAACAAAGTCTGTGCTCTTAAGCAGCTTAAACTTTATTGGGAGAAATAGTCAGTTCTTTAAAAAGTTAAGCAGGATGAATTCAGATTGAGAAAACCGCTTGAAAGAAATAAACAGAAAGATAACGTGGAGGTATTAGTTAAGGCAATTGCTGTGGGTGCGTTGCTTGAGAAGAGCCTCCTTAGACTTTCGAGCTGAAGGATCAGAAGAGAAGGCTCTGGACAGATCAGGGAGATGGATGTTCAGGGCAGAGAGAGCCAATGTGAAGGCTAAAAGATACTGAGTGGGAACACAGTATGAGATGATTCTGGGAAGGAAGAAAAGGAGCAGAATATTCAAGGCATAGTAGGTGATAACCAGGGCTTTAGATTTTTTTGTGAGAGCCAATGAAAATTTGAAGCAGAGGAGTTATAAAATCTACTTTTTGCTTTTAAAAGAAAGATCTTTCTGTTGTGTGGAT